GGCCCATTGACGACCGCCCTATTCAACTGCCCGGATGACGAGGTTACGATCCCAACCCTTGCTCTATCGGTTGCGATTCGATCACTACAGCGCCGTATAAGCAGCCCGTTGAAAAAGTTAAAAATTATGGAGCGCGCCTGGCGAAGCCAGGCCAGCTCGGCGAAGCCGAGCTAAAGAGAAGGAGGAGAGCTCGGCGTCAGCCGGGCGATCCGACTGGTATCTAGTATGAATGAGGAACCTATAAAGGATTTGACAGTTGCTTGAAAGCACGGTCTGCGATCAGATCTAGAATAAAAATATGGTATTGAGAGGGTAATAGTGGTCCACAACGAACAACCTTGTACCAGTTTCGTAGCAAAAGTTTTAAGGGAGTGGCGGTAAGGCACAGGGTGTACAAGTGATACAAGTGACCCTGCCGAAAAGTCAGTGGCTCCGCTCTTGTTGATAGATAACTTACCATACTACTACTAATACTGTCATACTCGTTTGCGTGCTCTCTCACCGCTCTTCTCTGGCTTCTAGCCCGAGAACAGCATAGATTTTTTGTCCCCCGCTTAGCACAGGGAAAGCCTGATTTCGAGCGTTTTCGACTCTTTCCTTTGCTTTTTTCATTCACGAGCGACTCTATTGCCACGTACGCTCCACTTCCAACCCCGATACCAACAAATGTCTCTCTGGCTCATCGCAAATTCTGCCTTTAATGATTCTCTCACGTAGGCGTTACTGTAAGGCTTTCAAGAGTCTTGTTCCAGAAAAGAATCAGGTTTTTTGAGCTGTACATCTACAAATTGTTGGCACCAATCGAGTCCGTGGAAATGCAGTGATTTGGGAACTCAGTTGAATATCCCTCCAATCTCGTTGCATCCTAAGCAGCACCTTCAAATGCAAAAGTGGTACTCTCTGTGCGGTCATAAAGCTGCTTATTTTATATGTGAGCTTATACGGGCACAGTTCGGCATGGTGGGGCATTTTGCGTTCCCCCATGAATTCAAATTACAGAAATAGTTAAAAAAAACTGGGTATGTGAAAAGAGAATCGTAATTCGCCGCGCTTATGGGCGTCGCCTGCGACGTCGCGCCCGGGAATGACGATGTTTCCAGATGGTAGATGGCGAGAACGGGCAACGAAGAACCAAAATGGGTCATAAATGTCTACAATTCGTAGCCCACGTGAAATCCGGTGCTTCAGTCGACAGGCTAAGACGAATTAAGAAAACGCCGGCGATCGCGGAATGTGTCTATATGTCACCATCATTGCAAAGCAGTACTTTAGATTTTTCTGCGCCACCTCTCCATCTGCAGGCTTCGAAGTCTTTGCAGTCAAGGTCTGCTGCTGTTCGAATTGGTTTTCCTGCTGCTGTAGATACCAGAGGAGAAGATTTAAAGCCATCGCCCATGTCAACTGTAAGTGTTGATTATTAGAGTGCACTCCGTATCTAAAAGACGGGGAGGGCGTGGCTTCGTGCTCCACTTGAAAATCGTATATGATGTGTTTTCGTCCGTGTTGCTATTTGAAACTAGCTGTCATCCGGCATGGACTGGACAAACGAAACATTATGACAAATGCCCAGAAACGGCGCTATCTCACCTAAAGATCGTACGTCGCTACATTCAAATGGAGTACGTTGCCACGCCCTCTCCACCTTCGGGGGTTTTCAGTGCACATCTCTGACCGAGCAAATTTCAATCCGTGTAACATACTTGCAACTTTACATAATGACGCTCTATACATAATATTATCAAGCATGATGAACGACCCCTCCGTGGTTGCTATGTCGTACGCTCGTATGGCAATTCTGCAAGTGGTTTTATTAGAATACAATCCTTGTAATATCCGGCCCCTGTAACAAAGAAGGGCTCACCTGAAAGGAGTTTCGCGAGCTGGAATCTCAGCATGACATTCGGTGTTCATCTTCACAGTTCCTGAAAGTATTCCTGCTTAGAGCAGAAGTCTTGATGAGTTGATGTTCCATAGGTCCACTTGTGATTTGCGAGCTTTATCGTCTATGGGGAAGGTGCAGGTTTTTGAAAAAACTGCCGTGATGTCATGCACCGTCCCTGGATATATCGCTCCAGCCAAGTCATCAGCACTCTCCTGGGTGGGGTGACTGGTACATTTTTTGTCCAAAAAAAGCGGAGGGTGCTATGGCATTCATATAAGCACGACAATAAACACGATACAAATGTGTAAACAAAATAAGCAGTTGTATAGCTTCATACGAGGAGAGCATCCGGGTTAGAGAAACAGTTGCATTATAGCGTTAAATCCTTCATGAGAGAGGGTGCAGCGGCAATTGGGGCCGCTTACAGCGCACAAACTCAGGGGTCAAAACCTGATCCACCCGCTCACCCCTGCCAAGCCCTCTATCTCAAAAGGGTCAGTTAATGCTGTTGGTGTTGCGCAATGGGAGTTGGCCTCTAGCGACGTTGGCGGACCTACTACGATGGTATCCGGAGTTCGTGTTGAAGCTGGTCCGAACTTGCAGTGTGGCGGCCACTGCCCTTCCGAGCTATCTATCATCTGCCACTCCCAGACGCGCCCACCCCCCCCCTTTTTTTCTCCCCATCCCATTGTCTAATGGTTATCGGGATATCAGTTCTCTTGATTCACGCTCTTGATTCTAGTAATCCTACTATATATAAATGGCAACGTCTGTCTGTGTCTGTCCGGAAATGGCATCACCTGAAGAGCCAGTTTGAGGGGGAAGTCAAGATTGGGATGGGTAGGGCTTGGCCAAGATGCCGAACGGCACCAGTTATTCTAAAGAGTAAGCCCCGCCCACTGTGGGCGGGGCGTGCTCACAGCTGTGATTTTCAAAAATTCGTAGTTCGGTTCCAAAAGAGCCCCGAGAGCGGAAAAAGTGGCAAACGATAGGCAATCAGTTGGCGGACGAAATCAATGAAGCACACCCTGATGGGCGGGGCGTTCGCCGAAGTGAACGGTGCCGAGGACAAAAACCCTCAAAACGCATCCGAAAAACCCCAGGAAATGGGGAGTAAGGTGAAACTGAGCAATGGTTTGGCAGATGCTGGTGAATGATAACTTTGAAATCGTTGGTAAATGTTTCAACAATGTGTAGGTTTCAAGAGAGCCCTTTCGGGTGTCCAACAACTCGACAGAGCATTAACACTGCGGTGAGGGAGGGACTGGGAGGGGGGGTGTAGACGAGCAGCAGGCATTACGCATACAGGTGTCTGTTACCGTGGGTGGCGTGGACAGGGATAATAGTACACAAACCGCTGATGGTCTTGTCACGCACATTCAGTTTGTGAAAGTGATACATATTTTGCGCTACGGAGTATTTTGCGCTATGGACGTGGCCACTTTATACGCGAATAGCGCATTCCTCGATTACCGTTTGGCTGATCCCACCTCTTGGATGATCGCGAACTGGATTTCCGAGAGAAGTTGGTGGTTTTTAGTAGTATTTCTTCGCTGCCCTTCACTCTAATGCACCTATCATGTTTGAATATCTGCTAATTGTATAAGGTTCGTTCGAATATGTCTCACCGCAATCTACGTACGGCTTTTCGTAAAGCATTTTGTAGCTTCCGCCGGGCACATCTTCGAATAGGACGACCTCCACATGAGCACTGTTGTAAGACCAGTATCTGCAACGGCTTTTACAATCAAGGCCACTGAGGAGGAACAGAAATTCGTAAGGAATCCTACGTAAACGTGAGGTTCCCAGTTGCATTTTGACATCCAACTAGCGATGAGATGAAAATTGCCGACTGTTCCTCTCTCTTTCTGTCTCCAGTGAAAATCATTTTCTCTCCTGAATCGGAACTTTTTAGGGATTACGTGCACCTTCTCCGCATAGAAACGATACCTACCTTGATGGACTCTGGTCGGGCCCGGTCCGACACGCAACGCAGGGAACTCAGTGAAATCGATTTTCTCAAATAGGTAAAAATCTAGCGAATCGAATCCCAGCTTGTTCTCCATGTTTTTCCAACGACATTTCTTCGGATCGGCAAAATTACAATCCAAATCGGAAGCATGTCGCACGTTTTTGTCTTTTGAAAAGGCTGAAATTGCATGAGTGAATTTGCCGAAGAGATCGTTCTTCTATAGGTTCGCAGGATCTCAAAAAAACTCATCAAGTAACATTGTAAACGTAAATATTGGATCCCATAAGTAATGGCGTTCATTGCTCACACAAATTTTCATATAAAAATGATAATTGTCTCCAATGTGTTCTACATAAATGATAGATATGAAATATGAATATGAATTATGAATTTTCGTAGTATGGTTGTCTTATTACTGCTCCTTGATCTCGTTTTTTATTTCACTGAGGTGGAGCGTCGGGTCCACGCAAAAGTGAGTTTTCGACAACAACTTTGCACTTTAACTCGACTCTCAAATTATGGAAGAAGCGATGCTCTTTGTGAGGCAGCGTTCATAGTTCGGGACAGCAGCGGCGATCGCGGCGACCTCGGATAAATAAGGAAATCCAACTTGTGAGACCTTCTTTTCTCTTAATAATGGCTACTAACTGATAACTTACGACTTTCTATACATAAGCGGATCTGGAATATGAGGTAAGGAGGTTTCACTTCTTTTTAGGTCGGGATGAGGCCAACTCCATTTCCTGGGTGAGCTTCTTTTTGTTTCTTTTGTTTTTATTGTTTCAATTTATGCAAGCGCCTTAAAATTCCTATCGTCTGAACTGTTCCAACTTCCAAAACATTTATAGTTTACAAGTCGAGTTCAAACAACGAAGAAAAAAGAAACAGAAAGAAACTCACCTAGGAACCAAAACACTAATCATTTTACGCAACATCAACAGGTGAAAACTTTATAACCTCATGTATAAGCTCGACGAATGAAAAAAGAAACAATAAAAACCTACCCTAAATGAAGCTCTCACGCTTTTTGCTCATTTCTATCCTGAATCAAGAAAGAAAATAGAAAACAAAAGCCATTAAGTTGGGTTCACCTTTCTTTGTGTCAAACCAAGCTTCAGTATCTAAGAAAATTGCAGTTAAAGGAAAAAAGCATGAAATTGAGTCGCTTCTTCCCAAAAGCCTTCGGAGCGCAAGTAATAGCGTTGGGGCGCGCTCTGCCATGTACCGACGATCGCCGCTGCTGTCGCGAAGTATGAACGCTGCATAAGAGCTGGAAGTAGGTTCAAGCGATCGAGAGATGGGAATTCGCACCTTGTAAATGTGCATGGGGACTCTCTTGAGGAGCGACTGCTGGCAGAATCTATTCCCTAACTTTCGAACGTATCAAGTGAGGGGATGCTTGATAATGCTAAGGAAGCATTCCATGACCTCTGAAAATTCGTCAATCTCCGTGAATTAGGTATTCGTCAATCTCCGTGAATTAGGTAATTTTAGTTAGGACTCAATAGGGCATTAGGTTCGACTCTTGTCTGTGAGGTCGGAATTGAAATGTTCGAATAACATAAACCGTTATGAAGTATTTCTAAGAGACATAGCCTCTTGGCCGTATACTTAACAACTGGGTATGTGCGATTTTGGTTTTTTACTTAGATGTAAAAAAGAGGCTGTCAAAAATGCTCAATTTCGTTGACCTGACACTCCAGTTAGGTATTAGTGAGAAAAAAAACGCCATTACTTTTGGGCTGACCCAAAAACGTCACGTGTCGTATCATGCAAATAGACGAAAAGAGCTTGGTTCGGCTAGACGAAAAGAGCTTGGATTTGGCCCAGACCCGTCACGGAATGGGCCGCGCATTCTACTCAAATTCAAGTCGGAGTTGGTATTTGATTGCCATCTGACGTACATGTTTTGTGGTGGTCAGCAGCAGTGTTTCTGTGATTGCAAACGAGATATCGATTCGATCACATTTCAACCCGACCGGATTCGATCGCAGGTCTTCTCTTGTCCTTAGGCGTGAAAT